TTTATTTTGTTCTCTTTGTAAAAAGAATTTTTCTTTTTTTTTTCTTTGTTTGCTTTCATAGGAGTTGCAGTGTTGTCCATTACGCAAGCTGATGAATCCCTCGATACACGAGAAAACACAGATCTCACATTAAAATGCAGATTCACGGAACAGTACGATGCCGACGACTTCACATTTTACTGGGCACGCTGGACGGCGAATCCTGCTCAATTCGAAAACGTTGCCATTGGTGAGGTGCAGCTGAATTCGGGTTATAGGTGAGTGAGTTCGCAATGCCACGCAATACACATACTTCCGTACCTCTCTATACATACCTATCTATGCACAGCCATGCGTGCAATTGTTTTTTTTTTGTTTTTTATTTTTTTCATGTATAGCTTACTTTTAGTCAACAATAGTTCTGCTTTTCAAAGGAGTAAGAAAAAAAAAAGAATTTAATTAAATCCATTTGGTTTGCTGAACATCAGTTTTAATATGATTTCTGAAGTGATGCATTTATTGACATGCTGTGTGTTTGGCAATATTTCTTTTTAATAATGTTGTTGTTTGTCCTACGAAAAGATGTTAATTAATTTTCAAAGATTCTGTCGAATTATTATATTGAACGTTTGTTTTCTTTCGCCTTCTTTTTCGCTTTCTTTTTCTACTTCTTCCACTTCTTCACAATAATGCAATTAAGATGTTAATTAAATCTCAGACTATTAGCATAAGCCGGCCAACCACAAACTTATGTACACATTCCTCTGATGCAACAACAAACGAATGTAACCTTTGGATACATTTGAAGATATTTTGCTTTCATTGTTATTATTGCCGTTGCTGTTGTTGTCCTTTTTTTTATGGTTTGACTAGTTAAGTCCTAGTTGAGTAACATTTTGCGAAAACACAATTCCGTAAATATTTCATTGGTTTAGTGGAATAACATTTAATGTTTGCTTTGCTTTCTTGTTCGTCTCTCTCTCTTTCTTCCTATGCATTTCAACAACATAATATTGCTTGTTCTGCTAACGGAGCAACTTATAATTTTTTAATTTTATTATCTATTACCTTTTAAAAAGTTTGCTTTTAATTATTTCAGTTACCATAATTTGCCCTTCTTCTCTCCCTGAACATCATTTCCTTTCCGAATGCAAAATATGTTTGCCAAAGGGGAGAGAAAAATGAACTCTGTATCAAAAACTTCAATTTTTCCTTATCATCATTATAGCTCATATTCATTGAGTTCCCCCAAATGTCTTTTTTCATTTTGTTAGTCACATTTTTCTCACTTGAGAGATTAACTAAAAGTAGGGTGAAATAGTTGGCAGTCAGGCTCTTTGTCTAAAGTCAACAAATTGAAATTTAGCGGAAACACCTTAAGAGATTCCTTCCGTTGTTTTTTCTTGCCTTCTCAAACTCGACAAAGTATAGTTGGTGCAACATTCTGATTTATATTTAATAGCATAAGCATTAGGCTAGAAATAAACACAACACCGATTTGTTATCCAAGTTGGGGAGGCTACATGATATATATAAAAACAATTAAGAACACTACAGTGGCCCACCACTGACCATAAAGTACTCTCATTACGGTTAATATGGGTAAAAAGTGTTTCGTTCCGAACTATTGTCAATAGCATGCATTCATCTTCACATTTCAAATCAAAATATCTCGAAAATTGCAGATTATAGGGTCAACACAAGAAAATTAGACGGGCAGGTGGACAGATGATGAACAGCAATCAATAGGATCACATGTTGAATTCTTTGATATAATGGGAAGTGGGTCTATCTCAAGAGAGAAAGGATTTAAAAATGGCCATATTCATCTGCCATAAGCCCGATATGTTAAAGTATCATTTATCGCTAGTTATACGCTACACCTCTTGTGTGGTACCGGCTATATTAAGTTAGTGCCTGCGTATGTAACTAGCAGAAGGGTTTAAAATAGACCCTCCTTTTATTATACCTATCGATACAGAATCATAATCCTAGTTGATATAAATCGGTCTGTCCGTCTGATCTCTGTCCATGTAAGTTTTATGAAATTTTAATGAAATTTGGTGTAATGGTGTGTTTTGACCCTAGGCGAACGTTATGGAAAATGGTTTGGATCGGCCCATTTTTTTTTGACAACTCATCATATAACATATTCGGAAAAGTCGTTATATTGAAAAAAATTGCAATTTTCAATATTCCTCGTCAAAAGTAGTTAAGTAGTAGTACTTGGGCATTCTAAATTGATATGAAAACTTTGGGCCAGCTTGGACAATTTTTGAACCCCCTATCATTTGACAAAAAGCTATAATTTTCAATGCTTCAAGATGAAAATTATAGCATAATACTAATTATAAAATAGTTAATTATACCGAATTCAGACCATCTCGGCCTATTTTTAGGATCCTACCCTAAATTAAATTTTTTCGGTATTAATTGCAAAAAGCTAAATAAATATTTTGTCTTCTAAAGAACATTACTTAGGGCAATTTTGTTAAAGACCAGCAGAAAATCTTTTATGAGAAACATTTTTGCCTTTGTATTAACACATAACTGCCACAAGAGGAATCGCTTGTAATCCATTCTTGGTTATTGACTTGAAAAAACTATGCAGAAGATTAAATCTAGACTACTATAGTTTTTTTAGGCAGGTCAATTTTTGAAAAGGTTGATGATCTACCATGAATAGGGCTGTAATATCCTGCATGTTTAAAACAAAGGTAAAGAAAAAAATAAAAGAAAGATTCAACTTATGCGCAGACAGAAACTCGAAGCATTTTTTTTTTTTTTATTCCCTTGGAAGGACAATATTAGTTTTTTCTAGGAAGTCAGTCACTAATTATGAAAGAAAGCGATGTGTACTCTTGTTAAGCATAGTTGTTTTGATGTTGTGTCAATTTTGAAATTCTCTCTTTGACTTAATTTATTGAACGAAGGCTCTCTTTCCACTGGATTTCTATTTATTATTTTAACTAGTTACGATTTACCCGAGTAACTCCAAGATATTTTCATTTCTTTATTTCCCAATTGCGCAACGAACTAATGATTGTATATGGATGAGAAGATAGATGCACGCGGAAACAAATACGATATATATATGAAATTTTCATTTGTAAATAAAAGTGAAATAGAATCAAAGGAGGAGAAAAAAGAGTAATATCAGCACATTTTTATTTTCATTTGTATTTTTTTTTTTTTTTTTTTTTTTAAACAAAGTGTGGCAAGTCAGCAACACAACTTTTCTGGTTCCCACGAGTTATAGAAAGTTGAGCATACAATAGAAACTGCTTAAACATTCACACGTACTTGTGGTTGTGGATTGTGGCTCTGGTAACAAACATAGACACGCATCGAAGTGAAATCCTTTCGGGTTGATGCTGCGAGCAGAGAAACAATCTAAATAAGAAAACGGACTGCATGTGGTGTTAACGATGTTGGATGGGTTGCATTGGGTCGGCTTGTGTTGAGATGAGATGAGATGAGAGAGTGGCGAAATGCAAGTCGACACGGTTAACACTTGCCGCACGCATATCATGATAGACGCTGCGAAATGAACATTTCCCCGCAGCACACACAAATCCCATTTGTAAATTCCGCAAAATAGAGCAGTTTTAGCATAATATTATAAATAAACATACGGACAGGAATGCTTATATACACATTGATGTACATGTCTATATACATACACTATGTATCTAATTTTGGAATTTTACAACTTCAGAAATTATGTGAGTGGTGTGGAAATACATCATGCAATCACTTGAATAAGGAATAAATTCCTTTTTTTTGATTTTCATTCATTAGGATTTTTTTGCTCTTTTAAGAAATCAAGAAGAGACGAAAAGTGAAACAAGGATGAATGAACATTTTATTTGTGTTACGGTAAACCTTCGACAAATATTGTCTGAAGGAAAATTACAAAGAGTTTCTTTGGTAACTGGAGACATGGATTCCCAAGCTGATCATATCGATATTTTGTATAGATCGGATGTCGACATAATGCTTGCTCAAAATCTATTGAAATTTTATTGATGAATTACATCTGTTTTGCAAATATGCTTGAAGGAAACATGCATTAGGTTTTACTCCTCCATCAGTTGTAGTTAAAAATTCCACCCCTAGATATGCGAAGAAAAAAAAGAAATTCTGTTATGCATATTTTGCCCTTACGTACGGAATAATAAAACGAGCTCACCTGCTTACTACAATCATAAAGAAAATTAGAATTTCCCTTAAGTACAGTAAGCAATTCTTTGCTGCACATCGTCTATTTAGGAGGTGTTCTGAAGGAGTAATAACAATAACTGCAGTTAGGCTTGATAAACGTTCAACTTGAAACATTCAATGAGGATAGCGGAAGTGCATAAGTTTATTTCAAGTACTTCCTAGCAAATGGAAAAATTCATAAATGGGTAATGGGCCCCCTGGTGTATTTGAAAATGAAAAGAAACGAAATAAATCTCAATATTCCTCCTATTGGTCCTCCACGAATTATTTTTTTTTTGCAAAAAGCTTATATGATATGGATTCAATTGTGGAATATTTAATCGGCTGAAGATCCCGTGTAAAATTCAAATTTAAATTAACTGAAAACAAACAAAATCACTGCAGTAGGCCAGGGGGTCTCATTAAGCACCCTACAATTTCCTACAATTATATTATGTATACAAAACAAGGTCTTATTTTGAGAAGTCGTTATATAGAAAGTGATCAAAAGAGGTGTCGGATCCGAACCATTTTCAATCGCATTCGTCCTCCGCAAAGATACGTCGATGTATCAAATTTCATGAAAATATCGCAAAAAATTGCGTCCTATAGGTCTGAACACAAGGAAACAAGAATAGACAGACGAACAGACAAGCTTAGATCAATTCAAAAGATGATTCCAATCGATCGGAATCAATCGGTCGGTCTATCTCAGCTCTCCTTTCGCTTGTTGCCCACATACGCACAAACTTAATACACCCTTGTACCGCAAGCGGTATGAAGCACAATAATTGAAATTAAAATTAAAAAGGTTTCGATAAAATTTTTCACTTTCAATATCACTTTATGATTTGGCACTAAATGTTAGTGCCATGATCAATTGCCAGCCTTTTGCCTGCTTGCTTACAAGTTCTCTATTTGGTGCATATCGTGTGTGGCTTTGAACTGGACATACACATTATGATTCATTCCTCTTTTCTGCTTGGGTTTTTCCCTGAATTGTTTATTAGATTTAAAATTCCTCTTTTTGCTTGAACCTTTTCGGTCCTATGTTGGCTCTGCATCTACGTCGAGC